AGGGCATGACGTGGGCGTAGGAATGGCCCTACGTACACAGCACTGTGGTCACGTTGGTCCTCTACGTAGACGACTCTGCTCTGACGTTGTCAACAGTATACCACGTGACATGGCAAAAATTATTTAACACAACATGCGTAGTTTATCTATTTGTTAGTTTAAGAGATGAATAAAACTTGAAATAAATAACGAGACGCAACAAAAAAATGTGCACGTTTTTTTTACATTTTTTTCCCGTGAAATGCTACGAGATGCGGGGCTAATGTGCAAACCTTTCACATGCGTTCGGGTTCCCGCGGTCAGCGCATTGAGCAGACGACCGCCGTGGAACGCTCTTACGCGTTCGCGCACTCATTGTGCTCATCTACTCTACCGCGTCTAAGCCAGCATTTCCAAACAATCCCGCAGAAACAGGCAGAATACTACAAAATAACGCTGGCCAACAAAGCAATGCCGCTTGCGTGCATGGGGGCTGGGCTTGTTCAAGCACGTCATGCGAACGTCGCCTCTTGGTCGGATGGTGGAGAGGGTGGGGAAGAGGTTTGGCTTGCGAAGGCTACATGGAGGAGCAGCAAGGGTTTCAAGCTCGTCTCCTCCCACCCTCGTTTCACACCGCTTCAAAAATACTGTTGTCTCCGCTCGTAATGAACCGATTCGAAAATTTTTTGTGCCAAAACGTTCCTCATCTGACACCCAACAACTTCCACTGTCTAACTAAAATTCGGTATGGGGCCTGGTAAGTGGCCCTTTTATAATGTGTGTTTCAGTTGAACTCTGGTGCCAATGCTTTGCTCCAGTAGTGGTCTAATGAAAAACAAAATGTGAAAAAGCCGTTTCAGGGACACTTTAGGCAGTTTATCAAACTGAGGACTCAGGGGACATGGAATTCACTGGCGCCTGAACGGTAGTGAATCATCTTATATAATAATTGCTATACACGCTAAACCACATGCGCAAGATTCATTGAATGAACTGCATGCTACGGTACTTGCAACACATGCAATGCTTACGTATAGAGTCATTATAGTGTATGTATAACACTTATTGCATTGTTATCAAAGCAGCTATAGCCAACACCACAACCACAATTCACAGATTGCCCTGACATCACTAGTAAGATCCTTTATGCAGAATCTTCAATCATTGGTGGGGCTGTGTGATAGGTCACTCCGGATGTATATACAGTCGAACCCGGTTATATCGAACCCACATATATAGAATTTTCAGGTATATTGAACTCGCAATTTATTCTCTTCGAATATCTTTGTAAAAGTATAGAAATTTGCACGTTTATATCCAACGGAATTTTTACGTATCTTCAGATATATTGAACGACGTGCAAGCTGGAAGGTGCGCTCTGTCACTGGCCCCCTTGCCTCCGCGATCTACGCGATAGCGTGGCTTTTCACGGTCTTTTCACGGTCTAAGGCATCGACGGAAATTTGCCAGTATCTTGAACCCAGGTCGATAGAGAAGTAGGCAGACCCGTGCAGGCAGTCGAGGGCATCGTCAATCCGTGGCAGTGGGTAGACGTCCTTGTGCGTGACTTTGTTTAAGTGACGGTAGTCGTCGCAGAAGCGCCAGCTGCCATCTTCTTTTTTACTAGAATGACTGGTGAGGCCCATGGACTGCAAGATAGTTTTATGACGCCTTTTGTGAGCATTTTATTAACTTCACACTGAATGCTGAATGACTTGTCGCTCTGAATGTGACACACAATAAGAACGTCATCAGATTGGGCTGGCGTCTCCAGTGTTGATCCTGTGAGTAACAACTGACATCTGACCTAAAGGGCTATCGCCAAAGTCGAAGATGTCCCTGAAGGATGCCGAGATACGCCGGAGATTGGCTGCCTGTGCTGGAACGAGGTCTTGCGCGATCACCTTGTCAAAGTCGGCATCGGTGGGGCTCTGTGAAAAGGTTGCAGCAGGGGAAAGAAGAGTGTCTGCAATGAATGCAGAAACAGGATGTTCACTGATAGAAGAGACCTTGGCTAGAGTCATGCCATCTGGAATAACTTGAGCGAACCAGCTGAAGTTCAGTGTCGGTAGCGATGCCTCATTATTCGAAATCATCAACAGAGTATGAGGAAGGGCAACATTTCTGTTCAATAACAAGTTCAAAATCTGTGCCAGTACATAAGCGCTGTCAGGTAGAGGAGGAAAAGACCTCATGGTTACATAGGTAACGGCTTAGGGCCCTAGGCGAACGTACTCGACAGAACACAAACGTGGTTGAGGTGTAGTTGAAGTGTCATAGTAATAAGGTAGGTCAAGCTGAAGTAAGCCTTTCCACAGTCATTAAGCCAGAGTGCACGGCAAGGAAGTCCGTGCCCAGGATGAGTTCATGAGAGCAGTTCTTGAGCACATCAAAAAGCACAGTTGTGGAGCGATCAGCAGCACTAACACAAGCGGAGCACATCCCAAGCAGAGAAAAAGTTCCACCGTGGGGGACTTGGATGAGCAGTACTGTGGGCAGTGTCAAAACCTTTTTAAGGTAGCGGCGAAGCTTTGAGTTCATCACCGAAATGTGAGCCCCTGTGTCTACAAGGCCAACAACAAGTGCATCGTCTACTTTAATGTCTATGAGGGTGCGTCGTGTCAGCGTGGTCAGAGGGTTTGGCTGGCGCATTGTCGATGCAGCATCACCTCTGCGAGCTGCATAGTCTAGTTTTCCCGAGCAAGGTGAGCTGTCGACGAAGGAGGACGGCAAAATTGGGGTGAGCGCGAAATTTGTGAGGCGACAAGCATGTTTACTGGCTCCATGGATACTTGAAAAAGTGTTGCAGGGCCCCTTTAAAAGGAACATGTTACCCTCAAATCAATCCTTCATTTTATTGAGCTTGTTATGATGGTTTATATGATTCAAGTATAATAAATTTTAAAACGTTATGTATCTTACAGGTTATCACTCGGATCCTGCCGAAACTACTAATCAAAGTTGTTTCGACTTCCTTTCAACGAAAAAAAAAGCCATTTGCATAGAGTCCCTATTTATATTCAAAATAAATATCGTGCAGGTTAGTTAGATTATGATAAATATTCCCTGTTTTTATATGTCATACATACTATTCGAATTTGATTCGAAATTATTCGACCAAAATCACTATTTGCTTCGCATTCGCTTCGATCCCGAAATTCACTATTCACACAAGCCTAGCCTTGACCCTATATTTTTAGTTTTTATTTATTTTTTCAGCACGACATAAACGTTTGCATATGACAGTACACGTATGCTACTGCTAAATACCATATCAAAATAACAATTATATTCTTTTCATAAATGTCAACACAGTATATCGATAGAGTACGCGGCTTCATATCAGCAGAATGACTTATCTCGAGGCATACATCGTACACGGTATTATCACGGAGGACCTGAGAAATGCATTTGGCAGTGACTCGGGCATCCTTGTCTTCCGTCGTCTGCTCCGCATCATAAACTTGACTAACGAGCTTTACTACTTTGGTTCGATTCTTGGAAGTGCTTGTCCAGCTCAGAGATCTTTGTGAAGCCGCACTGCAGGCGGTACATTGTGAAGTGACTCAAACGCAGCACGCGCTCTTTGCACGAGCACGTAAGCGAGCCGCAGCGCATTGGAGCGAAGGGAAAACGCGCCATCTACATCCCTGATTTCTACATTTCTACCAAAGATGGCGCTGCCTGTCCGGAGTCGCAGCGCCACCATGCGTTCCTTTGGCTTCTTATAGGCTGGCTTGATGTAGGGAAAGCAATTGCGTTAATACGACTTATAAAGCATTTTAAAACAGCAAAAAACCAAGCAGTGGTCCCACAATGCGAATAGCGTAACGAGTGGGTCATTCAATGCTCAAACCCATTAGAAAAATTTGGTTTTTGTTCAGCTATGAACTGTGCCACATGCGGACTTCAGGCTTGATTCCCCATCGTCGTCAGCCCTGCATGAACAATTGGCACAAAATTCCTTGTAATAGTTTTGCGAATACCACACTTCTCAGAAGAATGACGAAAAATAGCATGGCAAATTTTAGCTTATACACTACCCCCAAAGAATATTATTGTCCTAGTGGGTGTCAAACAAGTGTGCTTGCAGTAGTTGCTAGCTGTCGCTCTGACTGTGCTGCGCCTGCCGCACAGGCCTGGCGTTTTTAGACTTCATCGGCGTATTTTCAGGTTCTGAAAATGCATCAAAATGTTAAAGATTGGGTTTACTGTATAGCCGCAGATGATCCGAAGCTGAAGCTCAGTTGTTTAGTTCATGGTTTCTTTCGTGCAGCTGCTGGGTGCATCTGCGAAACGATGCTTTTTCCGATTTCAATGCTTATCATTTTGTTCGCGCTTGGCCAGTGTGGTAACTAATCATAGTGGCTGTTCGTCCGCATTATCAACAAAATCAGCTAGCCGCGATTGATAGATAATAAGAAAGGCATCAAATAATTTTGCTGTTTTGTATTCTATTTTCTACTGTAACCCCCCCTACAACAATGCCCAATGGGCGATGTAGGTACTTGTAATAAATAAATAAATAAATAAGGCAGAAGTGAACGCTTCACAATACCCTGCTGCCGTCTCGGCGTTTTGATGGCGGACAGCTGCTGGTGTTAACGTGTTAATGCAACTGTTTGGTTTGTTCACGAAAGTGATTGTAGTCATTGTTTCAGCGTGCTTTTCACCATGGCCTCGCAATGCATGGGTGAGAATCGCGTCGTGACGCTGCTGGGATAAAATAAAAAGCAGCGGACAATTTTTGAATTTTGAAAATAAACGTTCCTTTGTTTTGCTAGTTAAGATCTGCTATATTTTTTCAATTTCACTACAACAAAATTTTTGCTTCAACAAAACTTTTTCTGTGCCCCGTCAGTTTCGTTGTAGCGGGGTTCGACTGTAAAATACGAAACCAGTCATATCAGAGGCGGTTTCATTTAGGCAGCAGTTCTGTTCAACAGATTTCTGTTTACTGACTGTGGACTGTACTTGGGTTTGCTGACCACTGCAGAGATGATTGATTTGTTGTTCTACAGGCACTGGATAGCATTAAGAGGCACAGCATTCAAGTGTTCATTAAAGCTTGTCATCTCCTCTCTGCTGGGAAAACTGGCAAGTGGATTTGGACCAAGTGGTAAGAACATCTCTTGCTTTCATTTATTTTTATACTTTTTAGATTTGAATGCGGAAGTCAAGTGTGAAAATTACTATGGCTAATAATAACAGTACCATGTGCATTTATAGCTGTTTTTGATGTGTTCGGGTTTCACCCGTAAAGACTGTTTGCACCGTTCGGCGCACACCGCGATGTGTGAAAAGCTTTACGAATGTTTGAGACCATTCTGTTAAGACTATGCCATGAAGTTTAGTCAAGAGCGGTTCGATGACTTAGGTGTAAAATACGACACATTCCACCAATGGTCAGACTACTCGACGTTTCCATGTGTAAGCTTAGTTTCATTTTCTGGGCACACGATCACGTGTGTTCACAGTCAACCTTTATCACCATCACCAGTTTAAGAAGGGTAAGAGCGCACTGAATACGAATACACAAAGAAAGGACACACACATACACACATAGCGCTGCTTTCAACAGTTTATTTTTGTGATCACAACTCTACTTAGAGGGCACAACGGTAAGCACAACTCCTGCGCAGAAGTAACCGCAACATTACTAGGCATCATAATGGACTCCAAGGAAATCGAATTCCTTCTTCGTCAGCGCAATAGAAGGCATACTAACACACCTGTCACCCAACTTTTCAATCTCTCCTGCCTCTATTATCTCGCGTGTAAGCTGATTTCTATTTCTTGACAAAACCGCGCACGTGTTGAACAGGGGCATACAACCACACTTTTTACAATGTATTGCTAAGAACCCACCTGCCCCGTTTTTTTAGATTGTAATGATGCTCACGCAGCCGGTCATTCAAGCAACGACCGGTTTGTCCGACGTAGCAGTGACCACAAGATAGCAGCAGGCAATACACGACACACACAGCGCACTCAGCAAACTTAATTTTGTGATTAGTTTTGCACCCCCGATTTTCGTTTGCATTTCTCGTCTTCATTTCTAGTACAACGGGCCCTATCCTGAGTTTTCTTCGTGATCCAAGTGCTACTGTTGCATTAATTTCTGCCATGGAGTGCAAATGCCGGTCGCTTACGTTCTCTGTTCGCAATAAGGTGATCCCACTTGAGCTCAGTATTCTGTTCTGCGGATTCTTGCCTTCGACTGGACATGCTTTGAGGATTTGCAAGATACTCAAGCCTGAATGGCAAAGGCAAGTGCGGTTGTACAGCCATTATCTGGAGCTACAAATTCAAGGCGAACGGAAGGCTGGAACATTTAGAAAAGTTCTTCAGGAATACCTCAAGCTGATCAACAGGACTACTGAATTCTTATGGCAGCGGGAGCTGGCGTATCTCCGGACGCGTCTTCCTGCGAAGAATCCTGCACCCACAAATCCTGTTCACATGTCTGAGGGTGTGTATCTACCAGAACCGGTCAAGAAGGCCCTTTCTTTAGGGCCGAAGTTTGTGGTCGAAACTAAAGTCACGCCATGAATTGTTGTCTTTGGTTAGACAGATCTCAAAGGATGTGCCAGAAGAGGAAGCGGGCCGCATCGTCTCAGCAGGTGTGGACGTCGTCTCTCGATGTAAGATGCCCGATTCAAAACTCTCTATTAAGTGTGTTGGCTCTTATTTGGTCGATAATTCGTTGTGTGTGTTGCCTGCGGACAAAGAGGGCGGATTCGCAGTATTCTCCTCTGTTCAGTACCACGAAAAGGCTGGTGAAGCCATCTCTGCGGTGTTTGACAGTCGCAATAATGTGTGTCTTCCAAAAATAAGGAGTGAGGCTAAGAAGCTGTGTAAGTGGTTGAAGCTAGATAAATTGGTCAGAATAATTGAGAAGGAAACGCGCGATTGTTTAGCAGTGTTTTTCACAGCAAAGACACATAAAGTAGATGTGCCATTCAGAGTTACAATCTCTGAACGCGACATTTGGCAAAAACAAGTAGCGTTGTTTTTGCAAGCAAAGCTTGGTATTTTACCTACCTGTGACCCTTTCCTTGTCAGGAATTCGGAAGAGGTTATTAAATTTATGAACATCAACCATGACTTAAGCCTCCAGGCCTTTTCTATTGATGTAAAAGATTTGTTTTACTCTATTCCTCATCAAGATTTGTTACGTTCTGTTGAAAAAGTCATTGATGAATATGGTGTAATTAGATTTCGAAATGAGGTTGGTCTTTCATGTGGGCATTTCTTAGAACTTCTGACGTGCTACCTTAAGTCTACCTTTATTTTATGATAGGATTGTGCACAGCTGCAGAAAAGAGTCATCTGCATTGGTTCTTGCCTGGCTCCCCGACTGAGTGACTTGTTTTAGCTGAGTTTTGTGTGAAGATGTCGGAAAGGTTGAACGGTACTAAGGTAGCTAGAACTTTTAGATATGTAGATGATTTCTTGCTTTTTGTGAATTGTCCTGCTGAGCAGCTAGCTGCTGAGTTCAATGGCCTTTTACCAGTAATCAAGGGTTGTCTTGAGCCCTTAGAGGTGACGCATGAGCTTCTGCAGAATGGCACCATGAGGTTTCTGGACCTTCGCCTGTCGTTCGACTGCGATCATGCCTGTTGGCATTATGAACCTCGTGCAAGTAAACCCCTTCTTCCCTACCATTCAGCACATTCCAAATTAGTTAAGAGGGTGATTTCGAAGCTTTGCTTCGAGAATGCCCTAACGAAGTCGTGTCCCCATATGGTCCAATTCTGTTTCGATCAGCAAAGGAAGAGGTTGCTGGTTGCCGGGTTTCCCCAGGCTTTGCTCGTCTCCATAGTTGAATGTATCTTGAGGGACAGCAAAAACAAAAACCGAAATGCGGCGAAATTATTTGAGCAAGGGAATCGCACAAGGGTGTTACCTTACGTGCACGCGGTTTCACATAATCTCAAAAAGATTGCCCAGGTGTCCTTTATGATGCGTAGTAATGTTGCGGTTACTTCTGCGCAGGAGTTGTGCTTATCGTTGTGCCCTATAAGTAGAGTTGTGATCACAAAAATAAACTGTTGAAAGTAGCGCTATGTGTGTGTCCTTTCTTTGTGTATTCGTATTCAGTGCGCTCTTACCCTTCTTAAACATGGAATACCAACATGCCCACCTTTCCACCTTGGTGACCATCACCAGCTTGCGGCAGTAGTAGCAATATACAATGTACTAGTAGGTATACAATCATGTGATGGTAGTTGCATATAATCGAAAGCTACTGGCCCAACTTGTCATTTTACTGCAACCATTGCTGTCCTTTCATTGAACACCGTGTTTGTGCATGTGAGCTCATGACAGACTTGTACTTGCAGTTAACTTGCATTTCGGTGACACTGGAGTGTAATGAAACGGGCTTTGAGCTAAGGAGATTGTTGAACCAAATGTGCTGTGTGACACCACGAGTGGACATGCATTCCCTCCCATAATGAGCCTAGTGGGTGGGAGAGGGGTGCAGGGCCATACATATGCTTAGGTGCATGTGAGTGGTGAATTTACCAACTGAATCAAATCCTAGTATATTTGAATACTGTATTTACTCGCATATTGAACGCACTTGCATAATAAATGCACCCCCAACTTCAGTGATCAAAACTTGGATTTTTTTCCCCACGTATAAATGCACCACCTATATTCATCGGCTGTAGTCCCACTAGCTGACACCTGGCGCCTCCTCACCCGTTCGATCTCTTCTGTTTTGTTTTTTATTTTGCCGAGCCATCTTGGCTCGCTCGCTTTCCCCCTTTACCCGTTGCCACGTGTCATATTGTTTTTTTTTTTCTATCTGTTTGCGGCATGACCCCTGTATTCTTTATCTGTGCGCCACAGCGGGGTTCAGGAACAATGCGAGCATAGAGACATTGCAGCTGCTCGGTTCATGAACAGTGGGAGCGTAGAGACATTGCAGCTGATAAGCACACAGCGAGCGAAGGTCACGAAACTGCCTGCGCCAACCAAAGGTTGCTTCCTGCGAATACGAAGAAAGCCCAATCGTGTACAGGCGATTTTCGAGCGATGACGACACGATTGGCTGTCGTGAAGGGTCATTCATTGCTATAGCATCACAGGTTTCTCGAAAACCAGAAAAAATGGCTGGTTGTCCAGAAAAAATCGTGACGATTTCTGCAACGTGGTAGCACCCCCAATTCTCGCTTTGCTTGTTCTGGGCGTGTACAGGAACTTCTTATGTAGAAGTGAGACGGCGACCGTATTTTGCCGTTAATCTTGTTATCGAGGGTTTGTTTTGATGATTGAAGGGCAGCTTGCTGCAATGTTGGTTACTTGCTACAGTGTTAACCGCCTCGTCACGGTCATCGTGTGAGGTTGCCGCGAAGTTGGCAAAGTGCGTCGTAGCGCACGCTTTTGGGTGCCCTTCGAGATCACCGCAGATACCACTGTTGGGGTTAAATGATTGTGAGAAAAGATAGCTGCAAAACACTTTTATGGCATGCACAAGCGGCTTAGGTTCAGCTTGCAGAAGATAGCGTCATCTACCACCTAAGATGAGTAAAGTGCGACGAAGAAGCTGTTTCCAAACAGTGTACGCGTATGTAAATTGCTAAAGCCTAAGCGACCTAACTTTTTTTTGCATTGCCACATTTTTTGCTCTTTCTGAAGAAGTTTTCATAAAATATAACCCGCGCCTTGCAGCGGTGGTCTAGTGGCTAAGGTACTCGGCTGCTGACCCGCAGGTTGCGGGATCGAATCCGGGTGCGGCGGCTGCTTTTTCGATGGAGGCGGAAATGTTGTAGGCCCGTGTGCTCAGATTTAAGTGTAAGTAAAAAACCACAGGTGTTCGAAATTTCTGGAGCCCTCTACTACGGCGTCTCTCATAATCATATGGTGGTTTTGGGACGCTAAACCTCACATATCAATCAAAATTTACTCCGCGTAATAAACGCGAGACAAACTTTGCCGATTTTTCAAGACAAAAAGTGCGTTCATTATGCGAGTAAATACAATGATTTGCATACGGTAACAGAACTATTTTCAAAGGAGGCCTGAAATAGTAATAAAACCATTAACAAAACAGCTTGGCATTTACGCGACATTTATTTGAAACAAATATTCACAAGCTTCGGCAAAGTA